ATACTTGGGCCAATGGAAATGTTTATCTAGGGAATGTGAAAGGTGGGAAAATGTCTGGAAAAGGAACCCTCACTTGGACAAATGGAGACTCCTTTGAAGGAAGCTGGTTGAATGGAATGATGCACGGGTTCGGAGTGTATACCTGGAGAGATGGTAGTTGCTATGTAGGAACTTGGACACGGGGTGTAAAGGATGGAAAAGGATCATTTTATCCTGATGGCAGCCGGCTTCCTGCCTCACAAGAAGTTTACCTCAATGCTCTCAGAAAAAGAGGACTGCTACCAGATTTGAGAAAGCAGAACCATTCGCATATCCACCATGCTGCTTCTGTCGACATGGGAAATGTCAAAGTCGGTGGCAACCGGGTATCTAATCGTAATTCTGATAAGCTATCAGAAGGAAACTTATTAAATCTGCAGCAGTCTCGCAACAGAAATGTTTCCCTGGAAAGACGTTGGAGTCTGGAGGTATCCATTGAAAAAGTGATTGGTCATGATTCATCGTTAGAATTATCTGATTCTTTTATGGAAGGGGGAGAAAAAGGGAGTGAAACAAATGCACCAATCCTAGAACGTGAATACATGCAAGGTGTTCTAATCAGTGAGCTTGTGTTGAATAATAGTTTTCATCATCCTCCCGAAGAGCAAAACGGAGGCAAAAAAGGTTGGCAAAAGGTTAAGAGGCCTGGTGAAACAATCATTAAAGGGCACAGGAGTTATGATTTAATGCTCAGTTTGCAGCTTGGAATCAGGTCTGTCATTTGTTTCTAACTCTTATTGTTATTTACCTTCCTCCTTATATCTGACGATACTCTTACTTTTCTTATTTGTTTTCCCTTCTATATTTTATTACGGCTTAAAGTTTACCATTTTATGGATCATTCAGTCTGAAGTTTGGACAGTAATTGTGATTTAGTTTCCTTATAGATATTAACAGAAAAATGGAAGAGATGTGAAGTGTTGACTAAACCTGTATAAACAATGTATCTGTATAGCCTTCTCTCTTTGGGATGATAGATAAATATTTTTGTTTGTTTGTGAATCTGTTGTAGGTACTACTTAAAAAATGTTTCTTAATTGTAATTTAAATTTTATTGCATCCTCTGTAAAGAATTCATAGAAAGATACACTACGTTTGTCATGATGCAGAATCCATATCTGTTCAGCTAAATATGCTGTTACATTGTTTTCGGAAAACTGAAAGCTGAATAAAGCTAGATTTTGCCAGATACACTGTGGGGAAAATTACACCTGTACAAAGACGAGAGGTTAGAGCATCAGACTTTGGTCCCCGTGCAAGCTTTTGGATGAATTTTCCTAAGGTGGGATCACAATTGACACCTACCCATCAATCCGATGATTTTAAGTGGAAGGATTACTGCCCAATAGTTTTCAGGTTAGCATACCTCCATTTTGTGACCATAGGGAGAATTTCTGTATGCAATATAACTTTTCTAATACATTCAGTGGGAATTTCGTTGATCTTTCTAGTTTTAATGATGAGGTCCTCTGGTTCAATTTTAAGGTTTGGTCTATGAGCTATTTAGGATTCCATGTCCTTTTTGGAATAACAAATTCTAGTTGCTTATTTCTTCTGAAAGAGGTGTCTTAAATTTCAGTTTCCTTTATTTTTATAAAGCAAATATTTTGATAGACCTTGCATAAAGTTCTAAGTAGTCCTTAGATTGATGCTAATTTATCTTTTGTGAATATTGTACTATGTTTTTGTTTCACGTGTTGAAATAAGTAAAACTAATTGTAGGAACTTACGGGAGATGTTCAAGATTGATGCCGCTGACTACATGATGTCCATTTGCGGAAATGATGCTCTCAGGGAACTTTCTTCTCCCGGGAAAAGTGGTAGTATCTTCTTTCTGTCTCAAGATGATCGTTTCATGATTAAGACACTCCGGAAATCTGAAGTAAAGGTTTGCAATCTCCACATGTACATTATATATATATTTTCTGGGAAACTCGAGTAAATATGATAATGTTGGCTGGTTGCTTTAACTTGTTAGTTCTTTCAACATTAAAGTTTTACCTTAGTTCCCTAATTAAAAATCAATACCAGATTGCAAAGTATTTTCAATGTCTTTCTGTCCCTGTTTATTTCTTCTTCTGTTCTTTGTTTCCCCCTGATGATTGCAGTTGCAGGTTTTATTGACTAAATTCTTGCTCATAGGTTCTTCTAAGAATGCTTCCAAACTATCACCATCACGTGAGGTCATATGAGAATACACTCATAACAAAGTTTTTTGGGCTTCACAGAATCAAACCATCAAGTGGTCAAAAGGTAATAACAACAGTAGAGTTCTCTACTTTCATATGCCAGAGGGGTTTCCCCCCTCAATCCATACACTTCATAAAGGTGGTTTCACTGAATTCATCTAAATAAAATTATTGTTAGGTACTTTAATTAAGGACTGTTTTTTTCCATTTCTTATTTCATGTTATCTAACAAATGGCTCCTTCAACACTAGAATGCCTTTTGAGCTAACAACCATGAACCATGTTCTCTTGCAGTTTCGCTTTGTTGTCATGGGAAATATGTTTTGCACTGAATTAAGGATTCATAGAAGATTTGACTTGAAAGGATCATCACTAGGGCGTTCTGCCGACAAGGTTGAAATTGATGAGAACACAACACTTAAAGATTTGGATCTTAATTACTGCTTTTATTTGGAACCTTCTTGGCGAGAAGCTTTATTAAGGTGGTTGACGAGTTTGCAACTTCTATTCCATCATATTATCTTTGTATCTTACTTTTTCAAGTTGACATATTATCAGCATATCCCCATCTTTATTTTAGTTAACTACTTCACAATGATTAGTCCAAGATTTGGTTTACCTCACAGTACTGTTAAGACATAACTAAACAGCTTTAACGATACAAAAATGTTTATTTTCTATCCCGCTTGAACAGCATTCTTATATAATTGGTTTACCTGATTCCATTTATATATATTTATGTAGGCAAATAGAGATTGATAGTAAATTTTTGGAAGAACAATGCATTATGGATTACAGCCTTTTGCTTGGTGTGCATTATCGAGCACCTCAGCATTTGAGGTCTCTCATGTCCTACAACAGAGTTGACGGCCTAGGGAGTGTTGCAGAGGAAGGTGTGCATTTTGAACATATGATCTTCTAGTGGCAGTTTCTTTTGGTCCTTTATATTTTATTTAGCATACCATTTTCATTTTGTAGATTATACGAGTTAAGTGTCTTTCAAGAATTCAGAGTTGTTGGCATGCATAAGATAGCCAAATCTGTGCAAAAAGAAAATTATTACTCCATATTGACAGTTACAAAATATTTAAGACGTAGTTTGTTACACACAAATGAAACAGAAATATAAGATGGGAAATTCTATTCACATCATTTACATACATGATGAAACCTAGATGTCAGATATATACCATATAAAGGGCGCATTTGAAACAACATCGAATAAGACACATAGGGTCGATACCAATTCAACTCACACTTTCGGCTTTAATATTTTGTGATGATATCATGCAATTGCATGGTACATAGCATACACCCAAGTAATCGGGTCTATGCTGTAGTTATCCGATTCTGATACAACTTGTATGCATTTCCTACTTTACATTATCCTGAAGGACAATGGCCTAATTTCAAATTTTCTTGGTGGTTATATTTCAGAGGATGAGATCTCCAACTACCCTCAAGGCCTTGTATTGGTTCCTCGTGGAACAGACGACAGTAGTGTTGTCACGGGTTCTCATATACGAGGTAGACGTTTGCGAGCATCAGCTGCAGGTGATGAGGAAGTAGATCTTCTCCTCCCGGGTACAGCAAGGTATGATGTCCTAAACATGTCATGACGGATATTCTATTGCAATATCCCAAAATTTATTCATTGTTGCCTGGATCTTGGTATTTTATTTGTATAAACCCTCCCAGAAGTGCTTATAGAAACAGAATGGCGTGAGAAAACAAATACATAGTCACCTTAAAATGTTGGGGAACCTGAAAATAAGCTTGTTGCGTGCTACAATAGTTATGAAGAAATTCTTTCTTGCTCTGCCTTCTATTAAAAAAAGATGAAAATTACATATGTCTGATACCTACTTATAGCCATAATTTCTGGAGTCTAAATTGAGAGAGAAAAAGGGATGGTAGTGACTATACGTACATATGCACAAATTGGCTATATATTGTGATTCTAATGCAGCGTGTAAGCTTTAATTCTTCATCTTTTATCTTTAAGGGGATAACCTTTTAATGTTTTTATTTATTTATTTCTTGAACAGATTCCAGATCCAGCTTGGTGTGAACATGCCAGCGAGGGCCGAGCAGATTCCTGGTAAAGAAGAAAACATGTTCCATGAAACATATGATGTTGTTCTATATCTGGGAATCATCGACATTTTGCAAGAATATAACATGACTAAGAAGATTGAACATGCCTATAAATCTCTTCAGTTTGATTCTCTGTCCATATCAGCCGTCGACCCTACATTCTACTCGCAACGGTTCTTGGATTTCATTCGGAAGGTATTTCCTCCGAATTCCATGAAAACTTGACACGAGGTTTTGGGTCCATAGTGTCCAAATGTTGTGAGAAATGGAGTGATTAGGGGATGTAGTACACCATTCCAAATACCATTTGTGCCAATGTTGCCGAAATACTTTGTTCAAGATCTGCTCCTAGGAGTCGATTTTTAATCAATGATGTTTATAGCGAGTATAGTTACCTGCCATTGTTTATGATATACTTCCTGTAACACACATTCAATGCTTTGTTCTATCCTTTCGCTCTTCTCAAAATAATGGAAACAAAAGCTAGATAGCATGTAAAGCTTTATCTACTCTAATCCTTCTATTTTAAAGCTCAGAACCATTACTTATCGGCCATTTATTAATTGATGTTACTCTTTTTATTAGTTCATATATTTGTAAAAAAAAATCCTATCACCAATGTACCTAGATTCGGCAGTTCTTAAAAACAACAAAAAGATTAAAATTGTGCAAGAATTAAATGTAAAAGCACTAAATTGTTTATTATAAACGTAAAGGAGATTTGTTTCTTTGCCATTAATAGGGTAGCATTGAAAAGCTATAAACTTATACAAGCTCCCCTTTTCCGCTAAGATACTAATATCAAATTTGATGAAAAATAGGTATTTCATTCTAGCCTCCAAAGAGTGGCAACAAAAATGTAGCCACCACTCATCCTACTCTCACACAGGCTAAGCAAATTTCAAGGATCATGTACTTAACAGCTTCCCTGGGAGGTTTGGGCACTAGTGGCGGCTTCAAAAACTCTCCTAGCCTCTGTTTCAGGGTCAGCTAGCTCCTGTGGGATCTGCATGAATTCGAGTTAGGAACACATCTTTGAAGGGAAAATATTAGATTTAGAAAACCTACTCAAGACTAACCTTTCCATAAGTGTTTGTCTTTGTGGGTGAAGCTCCTTTCGCCAGTAACAATTGTATCACTTCTGCATGCTCACCTCTTGTTGCATGATGAAGAGGCTGATGCAAAAAAGAACACAGAGTAGCCGTAAACAAGACTTATATGTAAAAAGCAGCTCTGCTTTTAATATGAACAATTGGGTCAATTCAGGTTTCAAAAATTTTCAGATCATTTGGTTTGAGTCAAATTTGAATTTGTCATTTCGGATCATTATGGGTTTACTTGTTCAGCCCATTTTGGGTTTGGACTATTTCAAGCTCAAACTGTTGATTTTTTAAGGTCAAAACGGCCGGGTTTCAGTCTTGTCAAGCAATTAGGAGAAGAATGCAAATCGATTCCCATTTTCATTTATTAAATAAAAACTTTGACCAATGTGCAATTGAATGCCAAACAAATCAGAATCAATTGAAATGAATCAAATTAGCTTTAGAACCTAATCAACATCAAGTGAATAAACTGAACATACAGGCATTAGAATTCAATATGGTTCAAGTGTCATTAATATGAAGTACTCACAGTATCACCTTCGGCATCAACTGAATCTAGTATCCTTTTCAAACATCCACTGTCAATGGCTTTGTCAAGTAGAAGTTGTACTATCTCAATAAATCCTGAAAATGTCGATTAGGAAAGGAAAAAAAGCCAAAAGTCAGTACCTAGTCAGAGATAAAAGATTCTAAATAAAAGTGAACATCCTACCGCCAGCACAGGCATCATGCAAAGGAACTGCTCCATCTTCATCTTTGGCCTCCAAATTAGCCCCCCTTTCCAAAAGTAGCTACAAGGGATCAAATCATCAATCATAAGGCTTTTGGTCTAGAAAAAAATACATAAAAAATAGCAGTGAAAACAGCACTCGACACTGACTTGAACACAAGGCAGATAACCATAGAGGCAGGCAAGATGGAGAGCTGTATCACCATCTTCTACAGGTTCATCGATGCTGCCATTCATGTTGTCTATACAATAAAATGAACAATAAAAAACATCATTAGGAGATATAGTAGTCAAAGAACACTTCAATGTTATGTTATGCAGATTTGGGTGCGAGTGCTGAACATGAGTATGTATACGGTACACGTATGGTCAGATTCTATTAAATTTTTCATGCATTTGGAGGATCTATGGAAATTATATCCACATATTCATGTATCAGACACAAGTGTCGGGCACAAGTATTTAAACAAAAATGAAGAGAGTGATCAAAATAGATTTAATGTCCACGCAAATCCAACTAAAACGATGAAAGAAAGAGCATATTAGTTGTTCCATTCTGAAAAAATGTTCAGTTAACGTCCAAAGGGCCATAAACACTTGCATAACATTGACATAAATACTGGGAAATAAATCAAAAGTTTAAAACAATCCGTCATACAATATAGGAAGACACTTAAATAAGGCATTATTCAAGATCAGAATTTTTCTCAACTTCAGCTCCTTACATTTTTTTAGTTTTAATAAATGAATTACAAGCTATCAATCATATATGAAAAGCTTATCAATTTTTTTTAAGTACAATTATATATGCAAAGCTTTAATTTCTAAGGCACTAAGGATATATTAATCGTCAACTTCAATATAGCATTCAAAAACTGAAATCAACATCAAATAAGCTCTACACTTCATCTATTTCCTTTAGAGACTCCCATCATGTTCTTCCAATTTCATGAAAAGGTTACCCAAAATCCCTAATTATATTTAAGTAATAACTATTCTCACATCAGAATTGACCCAGAGACCACAGTCAGTAACAAAAATAAGAGAATTTCCAAAAACTAATCTTTTTAAGCTTTAGAGAATGATAAAATCCCATAAAATCCCAAAGGGAGAAAGAAAAGTAAAAGTTTGTAGCATGAAATTTTAACAGGTAAAGCTCAAACAAACAGGAATAAAAGAGTAAAAATTGTCAAATGGGGAAAATGAAACCTAGGGCGAGGCGAAGAGCGTTGAGGTCGCCGAGCTGGACAGCGGCGGCAAAGTCGCGTAGGTGCGGAGGGGTATCGGCTTCAAGGTCAATCTCGAGACCATTTTCTTCAAAGAGAGCGTTATCGTCGTCTTCATCTTCTTCAAGTATGTGTCTTCCTGGAACCGCCATCGTTTTCTTTCCTTTATCTCGATTTCTCTGTTATTGGTGTACGGCTAATCAACTTAGGTTTATTACTCCTTTTATTTTCTTATAACTGTAATGTTTTGGGTAAACTACATAAATCATCATTAAATTTTATTATCACTCCTATTTTAGTCACTTAAGTTTAAATTTTTTTAATTTAATAACCAAAATCTATACATTGAATTTTTTTATCATTCTGCCATTAACTTTATAAAGGTGTTATAACATGATCTAATAAAATAATTTTTTATTACCAATCTTGATTTCAAGTCTATGACTCACTATAACTCATGCGTTATAGTAGAAGAATAAAAAAAAGCTTGTTGAAGTTACTTTCACGCATGAAAACCATCTGAATTGCTTGCTGCTATGAAAATCATGCAAAAAATACAAGAAGGATGAAATTAAGGACATAAAGAGACAACACAATATTCTTAATTTCCTCTTTATGTTGTCAATTATTACCAATTTTCTTTACTAACAAAACACACCCACAAAGAAAAAAAAATGGAACATGGAGGATATACGACCAGTTAAATGGCGTCTGTCCATCATTTGGTTGGGCTCGCTTTAAGGAATCCCATGCTTATAATGTAGTCCTTCTTAATTTGATATTGGATCTTCCTTGATAGATGGGATACCATAGAACCCGATCGATTGATACCTCTAGATTCATATTTTGTTCCTTTATAATTTCAGATGATAAAACCTGACAGGGAGGTAGTATTTGTTCAAATATTCTCATTTTTATCTCTATAATTTCATATGACAAAACCTAACATGGAGAAGAAGAAAAAAAGAAATTAAAGAAGAAAAAAAATTGTGGAAATTAACAAGTTGAAAAGTCAAGAACTAGATAAAGTTTAATGTAAAGTGACATGTCGTTGCCTTGTTAGTAAACTAACATAAGAGTAACCAAAAAAGTTTAATGTACAAAGTTTAATTATTAAATTGAAATTTTTTAAACTTAAATGACCAAAATAATAATAATAATAATATGAGTGATGATTTGTGTAATTTATCCTATATTTTTATATTGACGTTTAGGGTATACTGTACACAACATGTTTGGTCAACCGATGATCACCAAAATATGAATAAGCTTACGGTATATCAAACTTAGGGAATAATTCCTATCTAGAGAAGGGTTAGGGATATTTTATACCAAATGAGTATTGAACTCACAACTTAGAAGTAAAGGGAGGTGTCAACAGAAAACTTTTATCGACATGCTTTAGAAAATATTGACATACTTAAAACTTAACTCTTATATCAAATTAAATAGAATATAAATTATTATTTCTAGCATATGTAAAAATTGTAGATACTCATTTTCGTCCGATTTTTTTATTTTATATATTATAATTTGTAAATGTTTTTAACATACATATGATATATGTAGTTTTGAAAACGGTTTTTTTGAAATATATATAGTATATAATTTTTTTAAAACATTTTGAAAATATATAATATATGGTTTTTAAAACATTTTGAAAACTTATATAATACATAGTTTTGAAATCATTTTGAAAAAATATATAACATATAGTTTCTTTAAAACCTTTTGAGAAACTTATATAAAATATAGTTTAAAAAACATTTTTAAAAAATTATATAATATATAGTTTAAAATCATTTTAAAAAAATCGATATAATGTTTTTAAATCATTTTTTTTTGAAAAACTATAATATATAGTTTGGAAAACTTATTTTTTAAAAAATAATATATGGTTTAAAGATGTTTTTGAAATATATACTATATAGTTTATTAGTATACTATTATTGTTATTATTTAAGTTATTCGTTTTATTGATTCTTTTTATTTTCCTTTTTATTTTCGGTTCAGATTATGGTCCAAACGGTCCAGCAAAAGTCTGAAGAGTGGGCCTGACCTAGCCCAGAGTATAGATTAGGGTTTTTACGTTCAGTCAAGACGCCGCAAGTCAGGGAAACCAAGTCACGCCAATAATCACAAACGGCACGAGATTTCTGGCCGAGATCCCCAGGACTGACCCATCCCGGGGTGGCCGGTAACAACTGCCACGAGCGCCCCTATTTCGGAACCAACAAGCCACTGGTGGGGGTATAAATACCCCACCAAGCCACTACCAAGGGGAACGGGGGAACCAACAGATATACACCAAAGAACCAAAACATCGAACACGAGAAACAGAAACCATCAACAATAATATCTGAAAAAGGGTCAAGATCAGGGCTAAAAGCAATCCCAATCATGAAAGCAAACACCAACATCAACACCGAACCAAGGTGAACACAAAAAGCAGTAAACACAAGTAGCTAAGCCCACACATAAATATAAGTAAAATAGCAATATAAACGCAAAAAAATATTCTGAGAAGAAGGAACCAGTCGAAAAACGCAAGGGTTCGTCGGAAAAAAGGTAAAACCCGAATGGTTTTTGTAGTTCTACTCTGATAGAGGTGTTTTTAGGACGATTGAGGCTGGGTTTCGGGTTTACGGTGAAAAGGGGAATATTTTGAGGCTAAGTTGGGTTTTCCGGCCGTCGCTCGACGGATGGCACGGCGGGAAGGCCACCGAGCGGTTACCAGAAATCGTCTGGAGAGAGGCGAGAAGAGAAATTTTTTTCTCTCATTTTGCAGAGAGAGAGAGCAAAGTGTTAAATGGGAAAAGATAGCCATTTTGGCTTAAGGGGAAACGAATATATAGGGTAGCCAAAACGACGCCGTTTTATGAAGGGTCTCCTGCGCATTTTCGTGCCTGGGTAAACTATGCCACTGGTGTCTATGAATTGTAAACCTTCCGTTTTGGTCACTGAAGTAAAATTTTTGATACTTTCGATTTGGGTTTCTAATTTTTTATGCTTACTATTTAGTCACTAGTTTATATATATATATATATATATATATATATTTATTATTATTAACATATATTTTATTTTTAGTTTTTCTTTATTATTATTATTATCATTATATATATATATATTTATTTATTTAATTTATTTATATAATTTTATTGTTTTTTATCTTTATTGTTTTTTTTCTTCTAGTTTTTATTTATTTATTATATTTTTTCCTCCTTGCTTATTTTTTATATTTTTTATTATTTTTTTCTTTATCAAATTTATCCTATTTATTTTCATTTTATTTTTATTTTCTTTATCTTATCTTATTTATCTTATTTGTTTTTTAATTGTTTTTTATCTTATTTATTTTCACTGTTTTTTTCCCCTTACTAACAATTGTCCTCACTTTTTAAGGGTACGTTTTCAGATGAATCAAAGGTAAAAAATTCGAATCGGATAATTTAAATTTTAATTCAAATTTCAAATTTTTGCAATTAAAGGCAACCGACAAATTAATTGGTACCAAAAGGGTGGTTTAGGGGTGATAATCCTTCTTTGATCGTAACCGACTCCCGAACTCAACATGTTTCTGGTACAACGCATATAAGGTAAGATGGTGTCCGACCCACCTAAATTCGTTTTAAAACGGTCGGTGGCGACTCTAACCCATTTTCCTAAGTCGAAACCCAGTTCCGGGCCCAACCAAAATAAGGTCGCGACAAAAATAAATGAGACTGAACTCTTTCATACTGATCTTATTTTATATTAATTTTAATTTGATTATTTTTCATCCTCTAAATTCATAACAATAACATCTAACAACTTAAGCTTTAGCTTCCTTGTGAACCAAGCAAGAGAATCTTAATCCAACATCCACAGTTGTGAATATAAATCTTCTGCCTCTTCTATGTGCTTTGTACCTCACTAATAATATTTTAATGTACCTTTTTTCTATTTTTATAACACTCATACTTTCTTATTTTACTTCATCTTCTACAATCTACCTCTTTTCAAACCCACATTTGCCCAGAAAATTAACCGATGAAAAGCTCGGTGTTATCATCACCTTTGGTTCCCCAAGCGTAAACACATAAAGATTAGAACCAGAGAACGAGATCGACTAATCTTACGACAACATCAAATTTGGATCACTTAAGTCTAACATGGCAAACCTTGTGAATAAATTTTGCTTTCAATCTTCCTTATTCAACTTGCCTTCTGGAGAAGAACACACGAAGTTGATTCAATCCAGCTTAACAAATTAACATGACATATGTGGATGCTATTCGTACCATTAAATTTCAAGCAGATAAAGCTCTAGAGAAGAACACACGAAGTCTATTCAATCAAGCTTTATATGTATATCATAGAGAAAATTCAGGATTCTTGCAGAAACGGTATTCTCACCATCACAATGCCCAAAAGAATAATTCTTCAGCTTCTTCTCGATTCTCTAAAACCCAGTACTTCCAAATCTCCAGTAGCTTCATCTTCGACCTCTGTTGTTCAAAAACAAAGAGACCAAAAGTTACAGTCACCTCCAAAACCCAAAATTCAACCTAAACCACCAATGGCGATTGATACTCAAATTCCAAAACAACATACTAAAGGGAATGATGTTGAAGGTAAGACATCACCACCATTAAAGTAACAGACACTCCAATATCATGTTGCTAGACAACCGTCTTTCCTCAAGATAGCCTTCATCTTCAATTTCCACAATTAGAAATTTCTCCCATTGAATTTTTCAATATCAAATTTCGTTGCCATAGCTTCTTTTACGGACAGCTCCCACTATTTCACTATCGTGAATAGTTCTCTGGAACCTTCAAAGAATGGGTAATAACTTCTTACTTTCTTATGTTGGAGAATCCACCTTTTGGTGGTAACCACAAAGACAATAAGCATATATTACACACTCTAATCTAGCTCGGATACCAATTGTTGCGGAAGACGGCTATCGGATAGAGCAAAATCGCAACTGATAATTTGAGAAAATAAAAATGAAGATAAAAGAGACACAAAATTTACGTGGAAAACCCGTAAATAATATAGGGTAAAAACCACTGACAACGATAGAAGAATTTCACTATGAGAAAATAGAAATTACAACTTCTCTCGATCTACCAAGGATAAAACAATGATAATTCTCTCTTGATAAAAATGAGAAAACAACTCTCAAGAAATTCTCTAAATTCT